TCTCCCTGTCTCTTCTCATCGACGCCTCCGGTACTGTGCGAAATTATCGGGTCCCAGGTCTTTGCTCAGCCCCTGAACATGTCCCGAGGGCCAGCGTGGCGAGGCAGCACCCCTTCCGGTTCACCTTTGTATGTCCCGCCGCTTCTCGGTAACGGGACGCCGGGACGTGGTCGGGGGGCTGATGAGAAACGCCGCGTGGTCTACCTGCCCTTGCTTCCCGCGTGGAAAAAAGAGCTTAAAATGTGAGTGGCTAAAGTGTTTTAAAAGTGTAAAAAAAAGTATACAAATTGTATAAAAAACGTATGCCGAAAGTGCTACGAAGTGTTGTAGTTCCAATCTGCCATACTGTAAGTATACCTAATGGATACATTTTACAGTAGGCTTTACCCAAAAGTGTCATTAGGATATGCTTATTTCCATGTGGGTTTGCGTGAGATAAAGAGATAATCAGACGGTTCAGATTCGCTCTGTTGTCGTTAAGTTCGGTTACTGCACTACATTTTCTTGGCTCGTATTATTTTGTGAACTATCGCAAGGTTTGCACAGTCCACAGACACTTGCGAAGATATTTCTCTGTGAAGCTTGGGTTTATCCAAGTGGAGCCGGGTCAAAGAAATCATCACTTAACCACACAAAGTGTTTGAGCCCCGGATGAAGCGGCCTGGTGTGCTCTGGCCGGCTGCGTGTGAAGCGGTGGGGCTGGGTGTGAAGTGGGGTGCGGCGACGACATTTTGTTTGCTAATATCCCCTCTCAGCGACGGGGGATGAAAGGTCGGCCGCTCGGGTCCTGTGGAGGGCCCCGCGGGGAAAAGGAGAGGGAAAGGGGGGTGGGGGCTGGGTCGGGGTGCTGTCCTGCACGAGGACAAGGAGCCTCGCATAATGACATCAAGCACGCTGGCCCAAATGTCGTACGCGGCGTCGTCCAGGCGCTCATCAGTGGGGGGGCTCACCAGGGAAGGGGGAGGGGGTGAGGGGGCTCACTAGCTCTGGCCCTCGCCATAGGATGCGCTCATCAGCCTCTACCCTGCTCCCCACAGCAGGGCTGCAGCCCCCGCACTGGCTAATTTGGATTCACCAATGACGATCATGGGTGCATCAGTTGGATTCTACAAGGGTGACTTGACCTGGGGCTGAGTAACAGAGTTACTGTACTGTTTTACCTCAGTATAGTGCGACCATATGGTGTTCAACTTTAGTGGAAGTTTTATGTATTATAACTTCTACTGTTGGAAATATGCTAAAATTCTACATTTTTTGCGATTTTTTGATTTAAAAGAACTTCGTTTCAAAACCAGACTGTCAACAAGTGGAATGTATTCGAGGACAACTGTTTTTAACAGTGCAAGGGCGGAATGAGGTCACAAGGAGGCTCACCAGCGGAAGTAGTTCCAGGGGCGGCAGCCGCGGCACCTGCAGCCCAGTGGGGATGTGGCCGATGGTTCGCAGCTCCTCGAACAGCGGGGTGAGCGCGCCCACCAGGCTGGCCAGGACCACGACGAGTAACTCGATGGGGACGGGCAACGAGCAGCGCTTGGCCGCCCAGGGCTGCAGAGTGACTCATGAATAATTGAAAGACGGAACCCTTTTTTTAAAGTTTCTTAATTTTTGCAAATTTACCCCCACACGGCTGTTTCGCGTCCCTCCTGCTCCCCCACCTTGACGACCTCGTTGTTGACGGACAGCACGGTCATGGCCACTGCGGACACGGCGAGCGCGCTCAGGTTGGTGCGCGGCACGGCCAGGGCCAGGTCGTAGAAGACGAGGGGCACGTTGAAGGCACCACGGCGTCCTGGCAGCTGCACGCCGATGACGTCCTTCAGCTGAGATGTGAAGGCGTGGAAGGCGGCTCCGGCGCTGAGGACACAGCTGTCATGTCACTCGGGTCGGGGACAAGGTTCCAAGTGGAGGATCATCCAGAAACTACGTCCGTCGTGCGCTTGCCAAGTGAAACCGATGCACGCCCCTCGTAGCGTCTGGTAGGTAGGCAACATCTTGCTGGCGAGCATGCGTGTACCGCGGGACGGCCTACCGCGAGTGTCGCAGGCGCTGAGCTCCCGTAAGCAACCAAACGAATCCCGAGAGATAAACAAACGGACGTACTTTCTGCGGATGATCTTCTTCTACAGAGGTGGGAAGAGTGTATTTACCTGAACCCGGACACCAGAGGGTCTGACAACAGGTTGGACAGTGCGCCAAGCCTGAACACGGCCATGATGAGCATGTAGCAGCCCACCAGGAAGGACACGGCCGACGCCACCTGCACGGGCACCAAGACCTTGACCTCGTATTGCTCCAACCAGAAAAACGTTTCCTTAAAAAATGGTGACTTCACAACTTTCCACGGAATTGACGTAAATAAAGTAACGAAATTTTCCCCTATTTTTAGGCAAACTTTGCCCCAACTTGGAAAAATAAAATATTTAACCCAAGGAAGTTTTGTCGTTTGACAAAGGAAATTTCTTTGGAACAAGATAAACATTTCATTTTTTTAAGGAAACGCCTTTCTGGGTGTCATTTTGCCTCTTGGAGTAGCATCGATGAGTGACCCGAACTCACCTCGAGAGAGTCGTACTGGTCCGCGTGCGCGGCGACCGAGGTCCCGGTCATGAGGCACACGACGGCGAAGGTGCCCACCGAGATGTGGCGCGAGGTGCCCAGCAGCGCGTACACCAGCACGGGGTAGAACGCCATGTGGATGCCCGTGATGGGCGGCACCCCGCCGAGCAGCGCGTACGCCATGCCCTTCCAGACGACGCACACGATGATGTGTTACAACTGGGACATCGTGCCTCCGCCCTCCGCCGTGATGACGCGCCACAAATCCGTTTTCAGTCAGAGCCACGGTTCGACTTCCCTAATCCCGTTTTCGCTTTACCATTGTATAATTGATTTATATGACAGATGACGGAGGGAATCGCATCACCGTTATTACTTATTTTCTTTTAATGCCATGCGCTGCTGTGGGGAAGGCTATCTGAATAAGTCCGGAGCATCAAAGGGCGTTACTCGAAGTACACCTACAGAGTCACTTCCGAAACGACACCGGAAACTCTGAAACGGCATGCGGCCACTGAGCGTGCATTGAGCAGGGTTGGCATAGATAATTAAATGGAGTTAAATGGGGTGAAAAGGGGTAGAATGTAATACAGCTGGGGACACCTGCCGACAGCGTACTGAGCCTAAGCTAGGTTCGACGTCGACTGGCGCGCAGGGCGCTGTGGTGTCGTGTCACGTGAAGTGCAATATTATTTGACTGGATTTGACTTACTTTAGGTTTAATTTAATACTCTATGCCAGGGGTCGCAAACTCGCGGCTCTCGAGCCAGGCGCGGCTCGCCTAGCCAGGTAGCGCGGCTCACCGAGAGCCGCGCACCTCTTGCGTTCAGCTGGAGCCAAGGTTCCCAAGAGCCGCGCTCGGGTTGTGTCTGTCTTTGTCTCACTCATTGAGTGCCAGTAGGAGCGACAAGGACAGACACGCAGGCCGGCGGACGACACCACTGGCTCTATCTGTCTCACTCTATTGCCGAAGGTCTCGTGGAGCGTGTGGCTTATGCAGGCGCGGCTTGGCGGAATGCTCGAGTTTGCGACCTCTGCTCTATGCCACCCCTGCCACTGGGGACCTCAGGTCCTTGCCACATTCCTCGTTTCATTCGATACCTCAATATGGATTGCGTACTCTGCGCAGCCGGAATCAATTGACCCAAGGGTATTCAATCAAATAATTGACAGGATTGGACAGTCCAACAACATGTCATAAACAGTCCATTCCTTTCAATTATTTTAATTTTTTAGCACTCCATTTTGATATAGAAGTGAATATAGGCTAAGGCTGATTGACGTCGATATTTATCGTCTCATTTCGCTATTTTCACCCCACTCCAATTTGCGTCGAATTCGGGATAATTCCGTGCTCCTGGGAAGTAGGCAATGCCCTCAAATGTACTTGTACCGGGTGTTGCATAAAAGACACAGGTGCGGGCGGGCTTGCCTACCCGCTCTGCCCGTAAGGCGCCTTAGCCCCTTGGGTAGGTGTCGGGGTCGGGGTTTGAGAATCTTGGTTGGACCCTATCTAACTTGAAAGGGGTTTGAGCTGTTGTATAGAGTAATCGCAGACCAAGGGAAAAATACGTAAGGTTTCACTGTTAAAAAAACAACAGTAAATAACTACAGAATGGACTGGTAATTTTGAGGACAGTGTAATCCTTTAGTTTGCACTGTACTTTATTCTAGAGGAAAGTTTTTTTCAAGCAATGTCAAGTCTCTATCCATCAAACACCAGTCGAACAGATTTTCACCGCAGTATGGAAGTACATGACGTTATCTGTATAGATTATGTTTCTGGGTACAAAATTTTTAACAGTGTAACATCCATGTATCTATATTTTGATTTGATTTTTTTTAGGGGAGGGGGTGCTATCGCCCCCCCCCCCTTTTCCTTAATCCGCGCCTGCTCCAGGTCCCTGTACCTACGGCGGGTTCCTCGCGGGGGCCCTGGATCTTCAGCCTTCCCCTACAGGGTCTCCCTCCGAGGACCCCGTGATGGACGAGTGTCCCGCCGAGTGTCCTGGCCCCGCTGAATACTGCAGCAGAGGCCCACCTAGGGCACGTGCACGAGAGCGGCCGCCCTGCTCGGCCCCCGGGGCCCGAGTGGGGCGTGGTGAGGCGGGGCGACCGGCTTGTGCGAGCGAGACAGACTGAGACGGACAACGAGCACAGACATCATGAGTAAAACGGTTCGTTTGATCCTCATAGAACATTTTTTTTATGATCCAAACCCGATTCTTTCCACTTGAAGTCAAATATCTTATTTTACATTCGAAACATAATGCTTAAATACACGGATTATGTGAACCCCTCACGCCAGCCAGGAAATTCGACTCAAAACTGTGAGGAATTGGCAGTGAATAATGTGCAAAATTTTGTTGGGATCAACGGAACCGTTTCTGAAGTATTTTATGTGACACCAGGGTAGAGTTATATGTGAAAGTACCGAAACCCCAAAACAAACAAAAAAGAACGATATAAATTCTCACAAGGACACCGAGCACTGCTTTTGCTTAGACTCATGGCCTTATGCTCCCACGACACTCTTGTCGAGGTTCGCATCCCTCCTCACCTGCGGTACGTGCATGATGGCGACAGTGGCGCCGGCCACCAGGTCCCCGGGGAGGTCGCGTCTCCAGTCGTAGCCGGCAAGCCACGCCACGGCGGGGACCCTGGCAGCCAGGAGCCTACCGGCGCGCGCCGCGCTGCATGCGCCCTGGCGCCGCCACCACCCTGGCCGGGGCTTCTTTCCGTAGCCGAAGGCGCGGTCTACGTCGTCCTGCTGGAACACGGGCCGCTGCACGCGCATCTCCATCCCCTGCTGCTGCTGCTGCTGGAGGTGGTGATGGTCACCCTCGCGGTGCGTCACACCGGTCCCCACGAGAGGCGCCATGGCCCTGCCGCGGCACGCTGCTGACTGAACAGATAAGGT